TGTGCAATTAACCATGGCAACATCTAATGTTTGTGTAGTATTATGTTCAGCAGACTGTGTTCTTCTATTGTTGTGACTTAGATGACGTTCAGAGCACATTTTATGCCCAATTCATGCAAAACTCCATGTAATCCCAAGGGGTTCACATACTTTTTTCTTGCAACTGTATATATGTGAAAATCAATAAAAATTGTTAATATAAAAAAAAAAAGCAGTCCTGCCTGCAGGAGTAGTGCTAAACCAGTTTCTTTGCAGCTGCTATTGGTGGACTGATCTTCAGAACGACCAGAAGTAAACATCCTCTAATACCGGTGTACCAGGATCACCTGCATCGGCACAGACCACCTGACCACCTTATCACTGGCCACATGACCAGACACCAGACAGACGTCGAATTATCAAAATGAGGAGGCACGGATAGCTTTTGTTCAGCAAAGTCGTAAAAGCCGAGTGAATTTTAAAATTATTATTATTATTATTATTATTATACAGGATTTATGGCGCCAACAGTTTGCTCAGCGCACTGTACATTATAACGGGAGACAATACAGCAACAATACAGTTCAATACAAGAGGGATAGGAGAGGGCCCTGATCCTGAGAGCTTACTATCTAAGAGGCAGGGGCTGATCCTGGGAGCTTACTATCTAAGAGGCAGGGGCTGATCCTGGGAGCTTACAATCTAAGAGATCCCTTTATTTCCTAGTACAGGTCCTCTTTAAGCCCTATCTCGCCCATCATCGCTGCATGAACCCAAATCAGAAGCTTCGATCGGACAATAGCTCTTCCATCACGCTGTATCATGTCTGTACATATCATTTCCTATACATGACAGAAGCTTTGCCAGCCTAATCCCAGATGACTGATCCTATCGCCATCAGATTAAGCCGCGTATTTAGTCGCCTGGGGATTCTTCAGTCAACGGTCCGATTGTGTGCGCCGAGAAAACAGATAATGTCACCGAAATATGTAAATACTCTTGTTAGATGTTTGACTCGATATCCTGACAAAGTTGCTGAAAGTGTTTATTAGGGAAGCAGAGAGAGGGGGTTGGGGGGGGGGGGGGGTAAAATGGGAGGGGGGGGGATTAGAGCAGGTTGCTGGTGGCTAGCGTTTGCTTGGAATCGCTATAAAAAAACTCTCTTTGGAAAGACTGTCTGCAGGGTGCTCAGGTGTGCGCAGGAGATAAAAAATACGGCTGTGGAAAAGCAGCGGAATAAACCTGCTGGGGTCACTTGCAGAGGTAGATTGTGAGCCACGGGAGACCGGCGAGGGAAACAAACTCGGAACAATGCACACTGCACAGGCAGGAGTCACAAAAACTAGATGTTTGTAGAAGAATTTAAAAAAAAAACAAGTTAAAGGTATTGTGACGAGATGAACAAACCAATTTTAACTTTGGAAAAACTTGTCTGATTATACTTCCTCACTTCTCTTCAAGTTTCTCTTCCTTTTAAAAAAATGTGGAAAAGTGCATAGCAAAATATAGGCAACGCGTTTCAAAATGTGCCGCCCCCCCCCCCTTCCTCAAGGACAAAGGCCGGTGACAGTCAAACACAAACTCTTGTTTTCTGCTGTAACAGAATATCAGTGATGTCCTGTAGTGAGGGCAATTCTGCACAAATTTGGGTCTTACATAGTTACATAGTTAGTCTGGCTGAAAAAAAACAAAAGACCATCCAGTTCAACCAAAAACAAAAGTTACAATCCTACACCCACAGTTGATCCAGAGGAAGGCAAAAAAAAAAACAGAAAAGCACGATCCAATGTGCTCCTGCAGGGAAAACATTCCTTCCTGATCCCCCGAGAGGCAATCAGAGATTCCCTGGATCAACTTTCCCTATAAATGTTATATCCAGTTATATTCTGTGTATCCAAGAAAGAATCCAGGACTTTCCTACAGCAATCCACTGAGCTGGCCACAACCAACTCTTGAGGGAGTCTATTCCACATTCTCACAGCTCTTACTGTGAAGAAACCTTTCCGTGTTTGGCGATTACATTTCTTTTCCTCCAGACGGAAAGAGCGCCCCCTTGTCCTCTGTGATGACCTCAGGGGGAAAAAACTACACCGAGTTCACTATATGAACCACTGATGTATATATACATGGAGATCATATCCCCCCTTATGTATTATACATGGAGATCATATCCCCCCTTATGTATTATACATGGAGATCATATCCCCCCTTATGTATTATACATGGAGAATCATATCCCCCCTTATGTATTATACATGGAGATCATATCCCCCCTTATGTATATTATACATGGAGATCATATCCGCCCCTTATGTATTATACATGGAGATCATATCCCCCTTATGTATTATACATGGTGATCATATTCCCTCCTTATGTATTATACATGAGATCATATCCCCCCTTATGTATTATACATGGAGATCATATCCCCCCCTTATATATTATACATGGAGATCATATCCCCCCTTATGTATTATACATAGGGATCATATCCCCCCCGTATGTAATTATACATGGAGATCATATCCCCCCTTATGTATTATACATGGAGATCATATCCCCCTTATGTATTATACATGGAGATCATATCCCCCCTTATGTATTATACATGGAGATCATATCCCCCCTTATGTATTATACATGGAGATCATATCCCCCCTTATGTATTATACATGGAGATAATATCCCCCTTATGTATTATACATGGTGATCATATCCCCCCTTATGTATTATACATGGTGATCATTCATATCCCCCCCTTATGTATTATTACATGGAGATCATATCCCACCCCCCCCCCTTATGTATTATACATGGAGATAATATCCCCCCTTATGTATTATACATGGAGATCTTATATCCCCCTTATGTATTATACATGGAGATCATATCCCCCCCTTATGTATATTATACATGGAGATCATATCCCCCTTATGTATTATACATGGAGATCATATCCCCCCTTATGTATTATACATGGAGATCATATCCCCCTTATGTATTATACATGGAGATCATATCCCCCCTTATGTATTATGCATGGAGATCATATCCCCCCTTATGTATTATACATGGAGATCATATCCCCCTTATGTATTATACATGAAGATCATATCCCCCCTTTATGTATTATACATGGAGATCATACCCCCCTTATGTATTATACATGGAGATCATATCCCCCCTTATGTATTATACATGGAGATCATATCCCCCCTTATGTATTTATACATGGAGATCATATCCCCCCCTTATGTATTATACACATGGAGATCATATCCCCCCTTATGTATTATACATGGAGATCATATCCCCCCTTATGTATTATACATAGAGATTCATATCCCCCTTATGTATTATACATGGAGATCATATCCCCCCTTATGTATTATACATGGAGATCATATCCCCCCTTATGTATTATACATGGTGATCATATCCCCCCTTATGTATTATACATGGAGATCATATCCCCCCTTATGTATTATACATGGAGATCATCATATCCCCCCTTATGTATTATACATGGTGATCATATCCCCCCTTATGTAGTTATACATGGAGATCATATCCCCCCTTAGTATTATACATGGAGATCATAATCCCCCCTTATATATTATACATGGAGATCATATCCCCCTTATGTATTATACATGGAGATCATACCCCCCTTATGTAATATACATGGAGATCATATCCCCCTTATGTATTATACATGAGATCATATCCCCACATCTTATGTATTATACATGGAGAACATATCCCCTCCTTATGTTATATACATGGAGAATCATATCCCCCTTATTGTATTTATACATGGTGATCATATCCCCCCTATGTATTATACCATGGAGATCATATCCCCCTTATGTATTATACATGGAGATCATATCCCCCCCTTATGTATTATACATGGAGATCATATCCCCCTTATGTATTATACATGGAGATCATATATCCCCCTTATGTATTATACATGGAGATCATATCCCCCCTTATGTATTATACATGGAGATCATATCCCCCTTATGTATTATACATGGAGAATTCATTTCCCCCTTATGTATCATACATTGAGATCAATCCCCCTTATGTATTATACATGGTAGATCATATCCCACCCTATTTATTATACATGGAGGTCATATCCCCCCTTATGTATATATACACATGAGATCATATCCGGCCCTAATATGTATTATACATGGTGATAGCTAGATCATATCCCCCCTTATGTATTATACATGGAGATCATATCCCCCCTTATTATTATACATGCAGATCAATATCCCCCCTTATTATGTATTATACATGGAGATATTCAAGTAATTATACATGGAGTCCCCCTTATGTATATACATGGTGATCATATCCCCCCTTATGGGATGATACATGGCGATCATATCCCCATCTTATGTATTATACATGGAGATCATATCCCCCCCTTATGTATTAAACATGGAGATCATTGATCCCCCCCGTTATGTATTATACAGGGATGATCATATCCCCTCTTATGTATTATACATGGATATCATATCCCCCTTTATGTATCGTATACATGGAGATCATATCCCCCCTTATGTATTATACTTGGAAGATCATATCCCCCCCCCTTATGTATTATACAATGGTGAGATCATATCCCCCCCTTATGTATTATACATTGGAGATCATAACCCCCCCATATGTATTATATCATGAGATCATATCCCCCCTTATGTATTAGACATGGAGATCATTATACCACCCTTATGTATTATAACATGGAGAATCAGATCCGCCCCTTATGTAATATCCTATACATGCGTGGGAGTTCATAGCCCCCCTTTTGTTTTTTTTTACAAGGAGATCATATCTAGAGAATGAGCGAAGAAATTGAAATATTCGATTCGACTGATTCGGCCGAATTAGTGGACAATTTTTCTATTCGATTCGAGGTTCGAATTATAATAATTCGCTGTGAATTTAAGCTTAAAAAATGGTTAGTTGCATTTCTCTAGGCTTCAGAGAGAGCTTTATATTAGAGCAGAACACTGTACCTTTAATTTTATAATGCCCCTTGGAGTCTGCTGGGGGAATGAGAAATAATACTGTCACATGTCAGTATGACATGCAGATGAGTGCCAGTCGATCTTGAGAATCACCGCCTACACTTCACTCTATCTTTGGGTCAGTCACTCGGGGCCAAAACTCCAGAGTGTGGAGCCACAGTGTGGCGGTGCTGGGACCTCTGGCAGCAGCAATGGGAGGCCATACAGCAACCTATGACAAAATGGAAACCACCAGCAGTGTGAGGAGACCTGAAAGTGGCACATGGCAGAGTGGGAGCAATGGGAGGCGGGCCGTACAGGGTACCAGGTCACACTGTGGGCCCAGCAGCAGTGACCAGGCGGTACGGGGGTCCATGGCAGATTTGGGCCTGGCAGCACCTATGGGAGGCCTGTAATCTGCCAGCACCCTATGACAAAATGGAACCCTGGGCTGGGGCAGGGCAGAACCGCCGTATCTTTATCACGGTTTTCCCAGGCCACCGAATGGCGACGCTGCATATGCTGACGCAACGCTGTAGTCCCAACATGGGCCCCCTGGCCACGCTTGACATTTTTCTGGCCACATAGTCGACATTAACGGCTACGTGGTTTACTTCCTCGCGGCTCCTTGACGAAAAATTGCCACACCTCGCCCCAGAGTAGGAAACTTTGCCCCTCCTCTACTCCTCACTGGCTGACTGCTACTTCCTCCGTGCACACACCGGCACCACTACTGGCCGTGGTGGTGGTAGGCTGCAGTGGAGCTGGTGCTCTACTCCGTGGCCGTTTGCCTCCACTGACACTGCTAGCGACCCTGCTGCCCTCCTGGCAGCAGCATGGGAGGCCGTACAGCTGGACCCATGAGAAGACTCTGGACTTGGCAGCAGCATGAGGAGGCGGTAAGATAGGGGCCCATGGCAGATTAGGGGCCTGGCAGCAGCTAATGGGAGGCCCGTAATCTGCCAGCACCCTATGTCAAAAAATTCAACACACCAGCAGTGTGAAGAGACCTGAAAGTGGCACATGGCAGAGTGTGGCGATGGAAACAGCAGCAATGGGAGGCCGTACAGGGACCCATGAGAGACTCTGGACCTTGGCAGCAGCATGAGGAGGCGGTATATAGGGGCCCATGGCAGATTAGGGGCCTGGCAGCAGCTATGGGAAGGCCCGTAATCTGCCAGCACCCTAGTCAAAAAATTCAACACACCAGCAGTGTGAGGAGACCTGAAAGTGGCACATGGCAGAGTGTGGCGATGGAGACAGCAGCAATGGGAGGCCGTACAGGGGACCCATGAGAGACTCTGGACCTGGCAGCAGCATGAGGAGGCGGTATATAGGGGCCCATGGCAGATTAGGGGCCTGGCAGCAGCTATGGGAGGGCCCGTAATCTGCCAGCACCCTATGTCAAAAAATTCAACACACCAGCAGTGTGAGGAGACCTGAATGTGGCACATGGCAGAGTGTGGCGATGGAGACAGCAGCAATGGGAGGCCGTAACAGGGACCCATGACAGACTCTGGACCTGGCAGCAGCATGAGGAGGCGGTATATAGGGCCTATGGCAGATTAGGGGCCTGGCAGCAGCTATGGGAGGCCCGTTAATCTGACCAGCACCCTATGTCAAAAAAAATTCAACACACCCAACCAGCAGTGTGGTGAGGAGACCTGAAAGTGGCACAACTGGCAGAGTGTGGCGATGGAGACAAGCAAGCACAATGAGGGGAGGCGGTATATAGGGCCCTGGCAATTAGGGCCTGGGCAGCAGCTATGGGAGGC